TGCATCTAAATAAACTATTTGCATGACAAGCAGACAACTGTATGAAATTGCTGGCATGCAGTTAGCTAATAGCCTTCTTCTGGGCTGTTTCGAATTAAGACCAGGCTGATGCAATAGATCTGTTAAAAATTCATTTTTATCGCTACTCACCCTACTTGGACAAACAAATGAAAAAAACAAAACCCAACAAACAAACCTGAAATGGAAAAGTGCCTAGCTTTTTTTTCAAAAGATTATGCAAATGCTCTCAGATCATAAAGCATCTTTTTATCCGACTTTCAATTCCCTTCTCACTGTTGCATGTCTTAGAGCTGTTAAACGGTTTATTGCTGTGATTTTGCCTGATCACATTCTGCTGGCTAACAACTTCTGGTCAATTTGTGGGTCTTCAGCTGGAGGTAGGGTCCTAACTCACCAGCTGTGTGTCCCGAGCCCTCCAGCTCCTATTCTGGTGACTTAAAAATCACCCGGACAAAGACCGGGAGCTGAGAAGAGTTCCAGCCACTGACTCGTATTTAAGCCTTTGAGGAAACGTGTTTCCCTCTAGCATGTCTGTATTTCAAACCTTTCCCTTCAAAACTTTGATTAACCTTGGTAGGAGTTCAGTGGCTGAATCTCTACATGGGGAGATCAGAGTGTAACAACACGCAGTTGCTCCGGGTTCCTGGGGAGGGCAAACACCACGGTGTCCACTTGAAAGAAGTGACAGAACACACTGCAAACTGCATCAGCTGCAGGCCCGGCTCTCCATAATTCTGTCTGTGAGATAACTGACATTGCAGCCAGTCAGGACATAGAGGAATAAAAAGCACAGTAGATACATTATCAGTGATGAAAGTGATTTTTCTGGTTGTTATTCAGAGTAAGACATACTAGAATGAGTAAACGTATTTTTGCACCAGGGAGATGGCAAAGTATAGCAAACATGAGGCACTTTTTGTCCCCCCATCAACTGTGTTATTGCTGAAGCATCACTTGGCTCCAGTGCTTTCCCAAGGACATTTGGAAACTTGCCTTTTCAGCGGGCAAGTCTTGGGTAGGTAAGGGTTGGGATGCAATGAGGTAATTACTTGTTTTGCTTTGCTTTTTTGTGAGGCTTTTGTTTTCCCTATTAAAATGTCTTTATCCTAACCCCATGAGTTTTTTCACTTTTACCCTTCCAAATCTCTCCCTGATCCCACTGGTGAGGGAGGGAGAGAGTGAGTGGCTGTAAGGTGCTTGTTTGCTGGCCGGGGTTAAACCATGGCAAACACAAAATCGATTTACTTCTCAGCAAAAGCAGGCAAATATACGAAACATTTGATTTAAAACTTTCCCAAGTGTCAGACATGCAATGTGCAGATTTTTTACCTCCCACTGTGCCCAGGGCTCTGTGGGCAAATATCAGAAACCAAATTGCCTTTCATTCATGAACTGAGAGTTGTACTTTGTAAAGACTAGAGCCATCAGATTTTGAGAGAAGGTAACTCAGTCTTCCTGCTTCCTGCACATTTGTCACAGAATAACAGAGTATTCTGAGTTGGAAGGGACCTCCAAGGATCATCCTATTTGTGTTATCAAATATAGAAAACATTTTCTACTAAAAAAAAAAAAACTCTGGACAACTTTCTGCCGATTTTTTTTTTTTTTTTTACTGTTCCCTGATCCCTCTTTTTTTCAGTGAAGTAGCAGTTTCCCAGGCAAAATCCTTACAAGGAGAGACAGTACCTCTGTGCATCAAGAGGAGTTAGGTTTAGACTGTTAGTATAAGTTAAAAAGTTCAGTTATTTCAGTGAAAATTTGGGGGCATTACAGGTAATAAGCAAAGGGATATTTTTCCTTTTTATGTTATGGAAAAAGCACATACAGTTTTAGTGATATTTATCTTTTGTGTCAAGGCTGAAGGCTGGCCCACAGAGCACTCTGACTGCTGCAGTGACTGCTGGTACCTTCAAAGTATCACTACAATAACCTGGTATGGCCCAGCCCAAGGCAGATACAGAAAATAAATATATAAACATGCCTGGCATGATATTATTTGCTTGCATATTTAAATAGCCAAATAGAACTGTAATGCAGTATATAAATTATGAAGGAAACTGTCTTATTCACAAAAAACTTGCCAAAACCCATGACTTTCCTTAAAGTAGATGCATTAAAACTTCTGATCATGAAACATCTTACGTAGGAGTTTGTTTCTTGCCATATTTGTGACACGCTTGTAAGTGTTCCATGCTCATTACACAGCACAACATGATTAAAAGTAGAGCTTCTGGTTTACCAAAAGTGAAGAAAATAAACCCCAAGTTTCCAAAAAAAATTATTAAACGTTTAATTAAGCGGTTTTAAACCTGGATTTTAAGATGACCTATGCGTGAGTGATGAACTACATTCTGACAAACACTTTTCTTATTAACTTTGCAGTCTGATATTGGTTTATAGGTTGCTGTGTATAATCATATTCAATCTTTGAGCTCAACAGAACTCTGTACCTTCTCTGCAATTTATATAGAGTTCTGCTAATTGTCATCCAGGCAAAGACAGAACCATCAAAACCAGTTTCTGCCTTGCACCAGAAAGAACTGGTGTGTATCTACACTCATGTTCCAAAGTTGCTTTCTATAATCCTTCTAGCTTCATGGAATATGGTAAATAGATTAACATTAATAGATGCAATATTCAAGCCACCTCTCCTTGGCATCATGAATTAAACTGTCCTCACAGGCATCTAATTCTAGGATTAGTTGAATCTTTAATGCTTTTTTTGCTTGCTATAAAAAAGAAAAAGTCCTGTCTGACTCCCATGTGGAATAAAGCACTTTACAAACTTGTAAGAAAATGTTCTTGTTAAGAACTGCGCATTTTGAAAAGGAAGTTGAACTGCCAGTGACACCATTACCAACTGCTATAAGACACAACACACACTTTTCTTTTAACTAGCATTTTCTTTGCCTGGCTGCGTGCTAGAAGGACTTGATCTATATCAATCGACAAAAGAAACACTTTTCCTCAAAAGTTACTATCCAAATTCTTTTCTTTGCCTCCACTGGTGTAAACAAAAGGCAATACACCTCCATAAAATGAATCCAAACTCATTATTTTTCCTTTCAGATACCAAAAAAAAAGAAAAAAAGGAAAAAGGATCACAGAGTCCTTGACTACACCTTCTCTCCTTTACTGTCCTTCATTCAGCTACTAAAATTTGAATCCATGGCTTTGCAAAACCAGGGAAATAAAAAGGTGGTTTTTTTTTTTTTTTGGTTTTGTTTTGTTTTGCTTATGCAGGCTTTTCTGAGTTAGTGAGTTATTTTTCCCTACATAATAATACAAAGAATTATATTTCCCAGAGGAATTGCATTTCTTTCTTTATGCACACCTTTTTTTCTAGTTCAAAGGGCATTTGAAAGACGGAGAAGGAAATGAGGAAATTAAGGAGACAGATGCATAAGTCACTGAACAGTTTTAAAAAAACACTGACTGCATTATTTCAGATAAATGTGTTATGTCCTGGATTCAGGAATAACATAAAAATACATCTGACATCTTCTGCATGAAATAAACCCAGCTTCAACCTCCTTTTTTTAGAGCCCAGGTGCATTAGGAGGTGAGAAGGGTGGAAAGATGTAAGCAAGCCCCTTCAGTGTACTGTGGGATACAAATGCAGAGCTAAAATACAGATTTTTTTCCAGCAGACATTATAAAGAGTTGTCACATGTGCACCAAGGACTGGCAGTGAAACATTGATTTCTGATGCAGTACCCTTTGTCCTGTCATATTGAGGTTATTATACCCTGAGCACAAGATCCATCTGGAACTAAATTTAGCTGAACATTTGGGGTCATCTGTGAATTTCTTGCAGAGGGCAGTCATCTCATCTACACTGGATAAGGTAAAACCAGTGTAATTTCATTACTTGCAAGTGAGCCTTTGCCTGTCTCATCTGCAGAAAGAGACACTATAGCAAGATTATCTTTAAACTGTTAGATTTTACTCAAAAACATATAATGGCTTCACTCTGCACATGAATAAACTAAGAAATGGGTCAGCTTATCAGCAGCTAAAGCTCATATATTTCAGTGTGTTAACTTTGTTAATAATGGAACAACCATAATTTCTACAATCACAAATTTTATCACGTCTGTAAAGACATTATTTAGCTGAGTACTAAGAAGCACTTTTAATTAAAACTACCTGGCCTCTTTTTCTTAGCAACATAACGAAATTAAGACGAAGAGAGCTCAGTTTGGGGATTATTTTGTGTGTGTTAATTCAATCTATTAATCAACAGTACTTATCAATTTTTGCCTTGGGAAGGATAGTTGGTTTGCTTGGGGTGACCTTAAAGATCATCCAGTTATAATAACAGTTAAGTTAAATAATAATAAATAATAAAAAGTATAGGAAATTCATAATAATAGTCAAGTCAGTAAAGTTAATAGAGAATGATAGCCAAAGTGCAAATCTCGTATTTTCTCGGTTTTAAATTTAGGAACCTAAATTAGAAACCTGATTAACTGAAGACAAATTCTACCTGCCCAAATTCACATTGAATTTTTGAGTTAGCTGGTATGCAGATTTTAAATTCCACTGCCACTTATGATAGAAAAACAGAAAAATACTCACCCAGGAAATCCTGTTCTGTCTTTGATGCCTTGTGGTGAAAAATCACAGACCATGCTGAGTTGGAGGGGACCCACAAGGATCACTGAGTCCAACTCTTAGCTGTGCACAGAACCATCCCCAAGAGTCACCCCATGTGCCAGAGAGCACTGTCCAGAACCTTCCCAAATTCTGGCAGGCTTGGTGCTGGGACCACTTCCCTGAGAAGCCTGTTCCAGTGCCCAAACACCCTCTGGGTGAAAAATCTTTTCCCAACATCTAAGATAAATCTCCCCTGACTCAACTTTATCTCCACCCCTCAAAATCCAGTTCTGCCAATGCTTCAGTGTTCAAAAAATGGACAAAAAAAAAAATTGTGATATCAGTTAGGGAAAAAAAAACCCCAACAACAAACAACAAAAAAACAAATAAACATCTTTTATTGTTTAAATTAGTAGAATTGAAATGGTATTACTGAAAGGTAATACATGGACCCCTCCCTCCCCCCCCCATCCACAGTTCCCTTTTTACAGCTGCACTTACGAGTTGTACTTCAACTATGGCTACACAGATATTTCTCCCCCCCTCCCCAGCTGCCCCTTTAATCTTAATTTAAAAACCTAATCTGCCATAAAGGTACATGAAATAGAACAGACTGAGAAAATACTTAAGATTGGCTTTTGTTTACAAAGAAACTATGCAAATACTTATGTGTAGAACAAGAGTTCAAAAACTGGGCTGTATTCTGAAGAGTTTCTTCAAACATCCCTTTTGGATTATGGCTGGAAGGTACTAATCGGTCTATTCTAGACTAATTTACAAACATTCATAAAATAGTGAAAAATGCATGCTTTAGAAACCCGGTACATTTCATGACTTTGCACTAAAAAGAATCTGAAGGTGGAAGCAAGTGAATGGCGTTCTTAATGTGGGTTAGTAGTGCCTAGAGTTTTTTTTCTTTTGTACTAACAGGCTCTTCTGATTTTTTCTCATCTCTTTCAGGTGATTTTTTGTCTTCGGGTTTAGTCCGTGGGAGGCTGTGCAACTTCTGTGGAGGAGGAAACAGCATCAGTGTAAACACTACATATACTTTATGAATAAATATATATATATATATACATAAGCAAATAAAAAAGGATGTTAAAAATCCATGGCATTAGTGCACACAGGGCTGTATTTCTGTTAAACTGATGTAACAGTCTTCAACTACAACAGCAGAATATTATATTTCCAGCTGCACCTGGAAAAGGATTCTGATGTCTAATAAAGGAATCATATTCAACAATCAAATGCAGCCAAAGCCTGAACTAGGAAAGCTGCCTTCTGAGACAAAATTTAGGGTAGAATGTACAAATATGCTTCAAGCAATCGCAATGCTTCACGAGACCTTTTAATTAAACCCCAACAGTTACTGAGAAAGAGAGTACCTGAGAGCTTGTCTCTGTTTCTGCTGCCTTCAAATGAGATGTCGAATTATTGTGACTCCCCAAACACGTCTTGGCAACCTGTCAATGCAAAAGCCAGAGGTAACTGCTTCATATTTTTTGCTAAAGTACTGGTTAGGCCAGCTGACAAACTAGTCATGGTAGTTGTCACCAGCCAAGGTAGGTTCCCAGTTTATTCAAGGACATGTTTTATCAGATCTGCTCATGGATTTGCTGCAGCTCCACCTTTAACCCTCACTGTTTAAAAGGAAGATTTTAAAACTGTTTAAAAGGCAGAGCAAGAAGTATGTGAAGTGTGCACCTGCCTTTTCATAGGACAGCTCTGCAGTTTTTCAAGTCTTCCTCCTGCTTTAGAGCACGGTGTACTGGGGGTGTGGTTAAACTCAGATGATGTAGCTTCTTATGACCTCCACGGTCCTCATTTAGGGAAGGGAAGTTGCTTTAAGAATTTATTTATTTTGAAATTTTGTTATAGCGATGGTTTCTCTTTTTCTGTTATTACTCCCTCGTGAAAACAGTGGGAGAGTAAAATGTGATCAAAGTCCTGCCATTGAAACTGAGGGAGAAAAATGAAGGAGAATGCTGTGGTTGCTTAGGAACATGTGCAAGTTTGGCTCCAATACTCAGTGCCATTTGTCATTGAATGATTAATGAACAAGTAGTGTTTGTTTACTGCAGGAAATTAGTGCAGTAAATAAAAGCACTATCACTTTTATTTATCAGAAAAGACTCCACAAGGACAAAGAGCAAGAAAGCTAAGATGAGAACAGGGAACAAAGAATCATGCTATAAATTGTTGGGTGTTTCAGCAACAACAAATAGGTAGTTTTAAATTAGATGTTACACTCGTAAGAAATATTTGATTTGAAAAGGAAATAAAGTGCATCCTGGTGCAAAAGCCAAAATAAACTCCCAAAAGCTTTTGGGAAGACAGAAAAGGGAAATGATACAGGGGAAAAACCTCTGCAGAATTCTGGTTCTGCAGAGAGTTTCAGGAGCCGGTTATAGGGCAAACACCTCTGAATAAGGCTAAGAAAAAGTAGCATTGACAAGATTCCCCTAATAAAATAAAATTAATCTAAATAATGGGAACTTTTAAAAGAAAACTGAAGTTAATATTTTTTTGGTCTTTGACAAATTTCGGATTATGTATAACAGGATATCCTACCTACTTATGGCTACCTACTACTGGTCACATCCAGTTTCATGACAGGTAAATATCTAATTTCCAAATTTGCTGATATAATTTCACCTGTCTGTATCCCATCTGTCAGTAAATATTAATTTGTATTAATTCTAATGTAAACTACATTAATTACTGTAAACAGGTATAAAACCATACAGGCAAAATTGCAGTAGGATTATAGACTGAAAAATATCAGTTAAAACCAGCAACTAACCATTTTGCTTTATGTCTTGCCTTAATATCTGTAATATTCCATGGTCTTCTGTAATTAATCTTTAGTACAGCAATTCCTCCAAAATATAAATCACATTTTGTTTATCAGAGACACAATCAGAGGATCTTTGCAAAGTTCTGAGAAAATATTGCTGAATTATTAGGTTTCTAAGCAACAGAGTTTTAAGCACATCTTCATTTATTTTTCTTAAACAAATGGCGAATTGGAACCTGTCATATGTTCTTGACCTTCCAGACTTATTCTTCCTTCATTAGGAGTTAAGCAGCTGTAAAATCTCCAGAAACAAACACAAACCCATAACCAAGTAATGATAAAAATCCAATAAAAACTCCTCCCAAGTGTGGAATTTTCTTAAAGCAATAGTCCTCACAGGTACAAATTACAGCTTTGCATTACTGAAGTAACAGGATCCTTTGGGAAAATAAATTTTTTCTGCTTCTTTCAGAACTGTAGGTGCCATCTCTAATGTCACCATATGAAGGGTGATTGTGTAGAGAGATGTTTTTAGTTCAATTCTCAAAACTGACTAATTTGAATTCTTCCCTATCTCTAAATATTTATATATTAATGTGAGAAACAAATAATAACAACTATAAAAAAAGGCGGGAAGAGGTTGCTAATCCCAATGTCATCAGCTGCACTATTTTTATGCCCATGTTAGCTTCTGTTCAGATGGATAAGATTGTCATGTATAAGATCAGTTGTATAAGATCAAGAAAAAAGTTTCAGTTTAAACAAACAAGCAGGAAAATTACTGTAGTCATCAGTGTGAGCAAACCACACTGATGAAAAGGGGTCAAGAATGAACCTTAGACTAATTGGAACAGTTGCAAAAAACATATTCAGTGCTTTAGCTCTCTTTGAAAATGTTACTGCTTCCCTTTAATCAAGCCTTCAATTTACAAGAACATTTTCCCACTTCCATTATTGAATCTCTTGTGGTATTTAAAGGGAAGGGGACGCTGACAAACTGGGATGTTTTATTCTCCAACAATGGCCTCAGATTTTTACAGACAAAAAAAAATATATCATAAAAGTCTCACTTGTAAAGAGAACACATCTGCCTGTATTTGAAGTTTTTTAATTACACTGGAGGTTCTGTTTCTGACTGGGGTAAATACCACACTATTTATGAGTTCCTTGCCTGGAGATGTGCTTGTCCTCACAATATTTTTTTGGTAAATTTGCTGCCAAAGCCATTCCTTCAACAGACCCTGCAAGCACAGTATGTTGTGGATGAGTGTGAATCCTGGATTTATCTTTTGTTTTTAAATGTGAACACAATGGTATTATGAATATTACATAATGCCAAATTTTCAGTAGAAAAGTGAATTTATAGTGGGGACGTGTTTAGAAGCAAGATAAGGCTGAGAAAACCATTGTCTGCTTAATTTTACAATGAGGAGCATTATCTGGCAAGGCACAGTTAATTTGAATACCCTCAAGGTATGCTTTCTTTGATTTTACTACTTTTTCCTCCATGCAGGAGGTTTTGTCGAATACAGACTTAACAAACCTGAAAAATTTAAAGTTTAAAGGGAACGTGAGTGCCATAGAATACAGAATTGGTCTTAAAATATGCTAATTGAGAGATTAAATGATATAAAAGTTAATCCTATTAGTCAAACTCAGATATATAGTCTAATTTCTTTTTACTTGAATTATAATGTTACTTAGACAAAAGCAGGGAATAGGGTTAGATTTTAATTTAAATTTGAATCTTGAAAAATAATTCAACTCATCAACACTTCTAACTCCAATTGCAGTTATCTGCTTTCCCTGACAAATTTCTCATACCCAAGCA